GTTTTGATGGTGATTTGGGGTTCTCTAACACTAAGCTTTCTAAGATCTGATATCAAGGATCATTATATGTGACATCCTCATTTTCACGGCCAGAAAATACCGATTTGTTTATGCTTCATTTTCAAAATCAGAGTATAGTTTTGAAGAAAAGTGTTGCAGAATTATTGTTCCCAGAAAAACATGATAAATATGTTATCAAGCATTTCCAAAGAAATGTATTTTATTTATTTTAAAACTTTGGGATGTCAACGTCAATACAAAAACATAAGCATAAACAGAACTTACATTCATTTACACTAATGATCTACATCTCTTTAATCTCTCAGTGTAGTGCAGCTTTATATCGACACCTGTGATACAAATAAACTGAGTGGGTCAGGTTGGGAAACCTGATGAGTACATAGGGTTTTCAACCCACAATAATATAGTTATTATGTTTAAACATCAAACATTTAACCCAATTACCCATCCCCATTATCTTTTTAAGGATCATCTATCATTCACTTTTTCATTCCTAAGGATTCTCCTAAGGAATAGGCATGAAGTCCATCTTTGCCTATGGCGCAGCGGCCAATGTTATCTATTAGGCGCAGCTGCCAATGTTATCTTTTAGGCGCAACTGCGAATATTATCATCTAGGCGCAGTTGCCGGAATTATGACGTTCTCTATTAGGCGCAGCTGCCGATGTTATCCCTTTTGCGCAACTGCTAGGATGTTTAGAGTGCATCGTAGTTCGAAAAACATCTACAGGTTGTGATGCAGCTACCAATATTTATCTATATCATCTTTCATACCTCATCATTTATCTACAGCCTAGATCTGAAGAAAAAGGTTCAGATCTAGAAACAAAATACATCTACAGTCTAGATCTGATGAAAAAGGTTCAGATCTGGAAACAAAATACATCTACAACCTAGATCTGAAGAAAAAGGTTCAAATCAGGAAACAAAATACATCTATATCCTAGATCTGAAGAAAAGGTTCGGATCTGAAAACAAAATACATCTACAGCCAAGATCTAAAGAAAAGGTTCAGATCTGAAAACAAAATACATCTATAGTCTAGATCTGAAGAAAAGGTTCAGATCTGAAAACAAAATACATCTATAGTCTAGATCTGAAGAAAAGGTTCAGATCTGAAAACAAAGTACATCTATAGTCTAGATCTGAAGAAAAGATTCAGATCTGAAAACAAAATACATATACGGTTTAGATCTGAAAAACAAAAAAGTTTAAATCTTTCATCTAGCACAAATCTCAAGTAAATATGCACACATATCACGTAATTTATATAAAATACTTCATATCTATGTGTAAATATGCACACACCGGGAGGTTTGCTTGAAAACCGGGCTCTGCGGGGGCAGAGTTTCTAGCCGAAAAACTCTTTTTCTTGGAGCCTTCGGGCGCTCCGGAACTCGATTCTAGCACTTAGGAAGTACTAGGGAATGGAAGAGAGGTTTTGGGGGTAATGGGAGAGAAAGAGTATGAAAGGTGTGAGTTTTGGGGGTGATTTACGCCTCTATTTATAGGCTGCCAGCGCCGAGTACGCTGAGCGTAATGGGTTTTTAAGGGTTACGCTAAGCGAACTCAAAATTGCGCTGGGCGTAATGTGCCACGTGTCGCGATCTCATGCAAAGCCGTAGGGAAGAAGGTGCGGCTCAGATTGCGCCACATGTCACTCGCTGGTTACTCTAAAAACTAATTATCTTCTAAAATTCGTAACTTTTGCATACGAGCTTCGTTTTTTATGTTCTTTATATCCACGCGTAGGTGGGATTGTACTATACAACTTTCGTTTAGACTCCGTTGGCTTATTTTGACTTTATTTTTAAAGTTATATTTTTAACATGCCGAGACAGGAAAAGTACGTTAAAAATTCACAACTTCTTAATCCGACGTCCATTTTCGTCTGTCTTTTTACTGTTGCGGTACTAATAATGAGATCTTCAATTCTCATTTAGGTTGTGTTGGCCAAAAACCGCTCGATCTAAAATTCGAATTCCGGGTTGTGCACTGCTATGCCAAATCTTAGAAAAATCATAACTTCCTCATACGAAGTCAGATTTGGGCGTTCTTTTTATGCACACTCTTGGTTTAACGTATGCTACGAATTTCGTTTAGATTGCTAAGGCTAAAAGGCACTCTATTGTAAATTCACTATTTACGTCACGCAGTGTCGTGCCGGTTTTGTCGCGAAACTTCGACAGACCATAACTTCTTCGTTATAACTCGGATTTCGGCGTTCTTTATATCTTCGGAATCCTTGTCACGACCGCTACAATTTTCTTCATCGATATCGGGCTTATCTAACATTTTATTTTTGACGCTTATTTTTATTATATCTTTACAAACAAGTATATAATCACATAAAAACACATAATTCACATAATATTAAAGTAATTCATCTTTATTACTTTAAAATTTAAAATAGGTTATAACGGTTGACCTAGACTATTACATAATCGCATCAATTCTTAGCCTCAAAACACGGGCGTTACATTATATGTTTATGAGTTGATTCTTATGTGTGTAATGGTCTCTAATTCATCACGAGGTTGCTATATGCTCAATAGATGGTTAAATTCCATCTCTAATGATGGAATTTGGGTGATATAAACCTTAATCTCTATGTATGAGTTGTACAAGTGCTTTAATGACTTGTACCTTAACTTCTAGATGCATGTATGGATTCAAATCCATGAAATCTTATTTAATGTGATAGTTTATATGCGGATCCTAGTTATGATTATGTTTTTACATTGAAGTAATGGTTAGAATTGGTGATTCCAGTGGTGAATCACCATTGGAATGTAACAAACATGATTTTGAAGCAAGTTTAATTTCAAATAAGAATTTGGTTTGATAAATGAAGCATGTGAAGTTAATTTAAGATGGTTTTGGATTTATCAAAGAGTATTTTAAAGGACTTAAATGAAATTGCAAATTGATCGAGGAATTGGAATCAATACAACACCCTAGTTGTGTTGTGATCAAAATGAATAAAATGGAATCATAACTTGGGAATAGAATTGACTATTCCAAGTTTTATCGAGAGGATTAGAAGTTTATTTAGTGTTAATTAAGTGATTATAATATTTGTTGGTGAAGTTTAAAGTTATTAAGAACTTATTGATCAAAGTTGGTAATTTAGGTTTACATGAACTTCTCTATAACTCCCATGACCTTGAAAGGTCTTAATCATTAAGTGAATTAGATGTATTTGAGTTCAAAACATGTTTCTCACACTTATTAAATCCACATTTAGGAAAGTTGTTGGATCATTGGATGCATTGGGATCAAAGTAGGATGTCTAAAAATGGAAAATTTATCGTTATTGGTTTGTTAGGCGTGGCGCGGGCTGTTTTGTGGTATGGGAGTCGTATGTCAACCAAACTTGTTTTTATAACTTTTTCATACCGACTCGAAATCCCACAATTTTCACCTATATTCATGTTTTAAAATATTATGAAACCATAAAATTTCACATTTGGAATTAAGAGCTTAATAATTGACTTAACAGGGTTTTGACACACCTATTGTATTCATAGGTAGAACTTGAGTTCTCAACCTATTTGTGAAAAAGAAATGAAGTATTAGAAGTCTAGATTTGGACTAAGGTGAGTACATATCGAGAGTACAAGTCATATATTACCATACTTGAAAATATTTGAAGTATTACTTATACTTAAATAACTTTGAATGTTATGTGGCCTAATGGTATATGTGTTCATAGCATGAATATACATTTTGGAACTTATTTTAGTTTGGTAAAATTATATATGATTTGGAAATGTGATTTGGAGCATTCTTACTTGTGCATTGCATGTATGATGGGTTTCAAGAGTCCTTATGACTTATGGACAAATGGATGGGTTTCGAGAGTCCTTATGCATAATGCTTCAGGATGGACTTTACAAACACATTCATTGGAATACATATTTATCCTAAAAAATGAAGGGCATGGCCTCCATGAGGTTGTGGCCTCGACAACGGTAGTAAGTAGGAAGTTTACCCGGAATTAGTCAGGAAATTTGTCCCTTAGATTGAAAGGAGATTATATGAAAGTAGTGGATTGGGTTTGGGTTAGTTACATATGCATTTGTATGGTTTTTATTTTATGCACTTATCCTAAACTCTTAACTATATCACTATAATTATGAAAGAAGATTGTATGAAAGTATGAAATGGTTTTTGGAAAAAGGCTGTTATTTTGAAAAAGGTTTATGAAAGAAAAGGTTTTCAAATGTTTTTAGGAATCTAGACTTAGGAATTGGGTATTGCAATCACAATTCCATTTTATAGTCATATTTCGGTATTGCACACTTGGCTCTCCAATCCTAACGTATTATTTTGACATGTAGTCGCATATAAAGTTGAAGACCTTATTTAGCAATGTTGGACATTTAGAAGGTCATTATGTGTATGGTTCACTTTAAAGAGTTGTCATGATATTGAATGTACACTCTTGTATCCATTTTTCCAAAAACTTATGTTTTAACGGTTTCAAACCAAATTTCACATTGATAATTTCAAAATAATTTAAATGGTTTTAATGTTTTTGAAAATAAATTCGTTTCTACCCCATTCATATGAGGCATTATAGTATTACCAACTTTTAGTTGGAACTTGGATCCATGCTCTAACACATTGTACATACTAATGTCACTTAAACCATAAACTAAGCCTTTAAAACATCATGGGTGTGTAATGGCTCGTAAAGCTTGAAGCTTGAAGTTACTGTTACGCCATTTATTACGTCATTTACAACCTTGCTTATAAGTGTATGTGCAAGAAATTCAAAATCATGCAACCTTTCTAAACAATATTGATTATTTGATCCCTAAATAATCAAATATTTATAAGCAAATTATCATAATGATGAGAAAATCAGTAACAATACACACATCCATACACCCTCTAAAACTATGATTATAATTTACTTATATTCAATTACAATAACTTACAACATAAAAACAATGAGATTGAACTTATTTGTTACCGAATTAATGATATAACCAATGACATTTTTATTCTATTCAAGTACATGATTGAATATTAACCAAAAGCATTAAGTACATTCAACAAGGGTTTTTATGTATATGGGGTGGTATATAGTCGTATCAGATGTGGTTCTAGTAAGTCCATTCTTTAGGGAGAAATATTTCCGGTGAAGAACTTCGGTTTTGAGAGATGACACAAAATTGGCTCGATACATCCCTACTCTTTTTGTTTCTAATTCGATCACATTCTAATCCCTTTACATTATTGTTATAATCTGAAACAATTCAATGTGATTTTAAATTAACTTCCATTGATGAAAACGTTTTTTGAAAGGATCATTTTCAAAATATAAGAATCAAATAGAATGAATATATATGTACCTCGTGGCTTGATTTGCAAGCCTAATCCGTGCACGTTGAGGTTTAATGCTTGGACTACACGAGACGGAAGGAGAACAGGAGCAAATGCTGCATAAAACCACACCCGCTCTTTATAAAGAGACCAAATCGACAAATAAAGCCCACTAAAAAGACAATATTTGCAATTTTGCAATTTTTGCAATTTCCTCTACTAACTATATTTATCTACTACAAGGGTGTAACGTTTTTATTGTTTGTTGTAAGTAAATTACTAGTATAATATTTGGATCAAAATTGGAAAACTAAGCAATACTTAAGGACCAAACATTGTAATTGAAGAACAAAAACGTTACGTGTACCTCAAATAATAACAATGGGAGGTTTTCTATTAAAAAAAAAAAAAAAAAAAAAAAAAAAAAAAAACTTTGGTTTGAAAACTTTTTCAATTTTCAATAGATTTTTTGTTTTTAAAAATTCCCAAAATATACAATCATATTGTGTATGTTGTAGTCGTTTGGAGAGAAGTAGATGTATATTCGTTCTAGCCATTTAATATTTTTATTTTGTTTGATACAGACAAAAATATACCTGGTTTTCTGGGTTTTTCTATATTGGTTCCTGCTGTACGAGGAAGGAAAACTCCAGTACCGCATGATCTTTGGCTAGAATCTAGAAAAACGGCTTGCATTCCAGGTCCTCCAGTTGCCCAATTTGTAGGATGTTTGGGTTTTTGATCCTTTGAAAAACTTTTCCAATGCTAACAACACAAAAACAAAAACATTTACCATTAAAATTCACGTTCAGATTATATGGATTCAATCCAATTATCTTCTATGGCAATGGAGTGTTAAAATGCATAACAATAGTTAGAGCATATGTCATCTTCTATGTTATTTTTTTGAAAGATAAACAAATTGATGTATTAAAATGCATAAAAATCCATTAATTCTTTTTGGTCAAACTTGATGCCAAATTGCCATCTTCTCTCATTGGGGAGATTTGGAATCTTTCAGCTTCGTCTTATGCCATAACTTAATTGGGGAGATTCAGAATCTTTTTATTATGTTTAATTTGCCATTGGTTGCTTGATTCATGCCTAATATGTATTTTTTTATTATTTATGTTTAAGGGAATACAACTTTTAAAGTGTCTTTAGCTAAAACTTTCATAATCAAAACATATCTATAATATAAATTACTATTTGTTTCCTAAAAAGATACAATCAATTTATTCATTTCAGATATGGTGAAACTATAATCAAAGCCTAGAAATACGATTATATGACTATATAAATATATATATTTTGGCTTTGAAACTTGAAACAGATATGTAGGCAGGATGCGTAATCATGAATTTATCAAGTTGACTATTTCTCTTTTCTATGAGCTAAAAAACTAACGGGTTCCACTTCCTCATCAATGCTGGATAATCGTTTATCCCTAACCAACCTATTAGAATCTCCAGGAATCTGTAACACGACGTAAACAGTTTATATTTTCTCTCTCCATGCTTTGTGTGTGTGTGTGTGTGTGTGTGTCATGCTGTATGAAATTAATTACCGGAGGTGACGGAAGCAATGGAGGTTGTGCGGCAGCTGCTGACTTCCGAACAGTCGGAGGTTGATGTCTGTGCTTATTATAACTCCGCTGCTGTTATCATCACAATAATCACACATAAGCACAATTTATTCAAATAGTACTAATTTTCGCCAAAAGCTGAACCGATTGAAAACACCGGATGCATTAATTGCATTCAAATCAGAGAAAAAAAAATGAAAAACTGTGTCTATACCTTAAAATAGAAATGATGATCGTCGTCTACACATGCTCCGATAGCGTCGTTGAGAATGCTCCGCCGCTGTTATCATTAAAATATTCGAATGAAAATCAATGAATAATACTAATTCTCTCTGAAAACGCAAACTATATCTGTGCGCGAATCATCCAAATAGTACTATTAATTTTCGCAGAAAACTGAAGGGATATATATCGATCACATTCAAACCCGAAACAAATTGAGAAACTGTGTCTATACGTACCTTTGAAAATAAAAGATGATCGTCTTCTCCAGAATCTCCACATGCTTCAGTAACGTTGTCGATAGCGTTCGTCGGAAGCCATGGCGATCCTAATTCGCTTCCGGATTCATACAAATGAACAGCTTCGTCGCTTTCTTCCGCCATAATCGGTTGGTTTTCTGCGATCATGAAGTGATTGGAGATCGGAGATAGTGAATTTGGGGAGGAGTTAGAGGGAATGTGGATTTCCAACTCTGAACCTGCAATGTAACTACTTATACTTGCCACCCCTTATATATGAGGAGAGAGGGTTTATATAGTGACGGACACCGTTCCTGTATTTTCTCCGTATATAGTTTCTTTCTGTATTATAGTCTTCTCATAAGCGCGTGTCCACCACGTATATTAATTTTATGCTAAATACCGTAAATGCCCTTTCTCTTTTTTATTGCTAACCAAAAATCACATACATCACCCATGAAGTCCTGTTATAGAGTGTTATGGGTTAAAAACTTAAAATAGGTAAAAGAAAATTTAGTTAAATATTTGAGTAAATTACACGAATAGTCCCTATGGTTTAGGGTAATTTGCACGTTTGGTCCCTAACTTATCTTTTTAACTCGGAAGGTCCCTGCTATTTGTTTTTGTTACGCGCTTGGTCCCTGTCTTACCTAAAAATACTATTTTGCCATTGATTTTTTAATTTATTTAAATAAACACACATCCAACCCCACCCCCCTCACATTACCTTACCTACCCCACCATTTTTCCCTATTTAAATAATAGTTTTTTTAGGTAAGGCAGAGACCAAACGCGTAATAAAAACAAATAGTAGGGACCAAGCGTGTAACAAAACCAAACAGTAGGGACCTTCCGAGTTAAAAAAATAAGTTAGGGACCAAACGTGCAAATTATCCCAAACCATAGGGACCATTCGTGTAATTTACTCTAAATATTTTGAGATAAATAGGTTGAAAGTCTATCGAAATCCAATTTTAATACATACAATCAATTGATTATTATTATATAGTTTTAGTAATTATATATGATATAATAATTATTTATAAAAAAAAAAAAGATAAATATATATTTAAAATAAAACTAATCTTATTACTGTTTCGAACTCGTTCCATTCTTTTTTTTGGAAACGGCCAATAATATTATTAACACTCACCCAAATAGCAAGCAACTATAGGAGAAACTCGTTCCATTCACTTGACCACCTCTAGTAACTACTCTCTTTGTCGTTAAAAAAATTTGACTTGTGTATAATTTACCAAAATATTTTACTTAGATCAAACACAAAAATATATTTTTGAGTAACGAGTAAAGAAAACTTATAAATGATACTCTATTGCACAATTATCGTGGAATTTATTTTTAATTGACAAATAATTTAATTTAGGAAGGCGCTGCTTTTAATGATTTATTATATACCATTTGTATTAATATATCGATTCTCCGATTCTATTCAAATACTCATTCTGTACTAAAAATATATACGGCTACTTTCCATGCAAGTTTTTATTGAAGTTCTAAAAAATTGGTCCCGGCCTTTTAATGTGGCTTTGTATTTCGCGAGGATAAAGGGTAAGAGTTCATCTTTAACAAAATGATACTAAACAACATTTTCATAACTGCGTCTTACACCATTTTGCTGGTCAATCTTTGATTAAAACTCTCAAGCTTTTACCGGTGAGTTACCATGGTTTAAAATTATTTTGTGAAAAATACATATAGGTCCAAAAACATTTAATTTATTTTCATATATATATAAAACAAGTAATAGTTTATAAAACTAATGTAACTTTGTTATTGTGTTACTACACTGATATTCCAGTTCCATTTCATATATTTTTACCCAAAATGTGATGGGAGTTGAATTATTTCAAATTCTATTTTCTTTAAATTTCAACTTCTTTAAAGATTTCAATTCCTTTAAAAACTATGTGGGCATGTCAAATTTACCTCTCATACATGAAAATGTTGGGTCTATCCGTCTATGTCTTCGTTATTTATTTGACCGTTCCAATTTGTAGGTATTATTTGTAAAAATGATGGCAAGGGGTAGAATAGTAATTTAAAGATGTAGAACTAAAATAGAAAGGAGCGAAGAGGAAATGGGAACGTGGATAGGTTGGGTTTGGGTTGGGTGAACCTCTTCCACCTTTTTTAAAATAAAAATCATAATTTCACAGTTAAACTCCTCACGTATACGTATGCCTTTTTCTCTGCTCCAGCCTCCACTTCCACTTATACCAAGGTCAATTACTTTATTTTATAAATTAATATTATTGTTTTTTAGTGTATTATTATTTTAATGTTTAAACGTATGTAATCTAAAGTCTAAACATACAATTTAAAGCTTTGTAATTCTGACTGGTGTATATCCTTAATAAATAGAGTTGAGTTATATTGTATTTTAAATGAACCAAACATAAATATTAAAAAGAAAAAAAGTAAAAAGAATGGAGTGAACAATTCCGTAAGTTGAGCGTCTTTTGAAATGAAATAGAAAATGGGTTAATGACTTAGGAGGAAATTAGGTTTTCAGTTTGTCCGTATTAGGTCACTAAAGTTTTTTGTGTGCATATTAGACCAATATGGTTGTTATTACCGTTTAGAAATAGTCTTTTTTACTGGTTTCTTCTTGTTTAGCTTAGTTGGCAGCTTACGTGTCCGGTGACATGCCTATAACCACCCCATCGCCTCCACCTCAAACAATGTCCCATATCTCTTGTGCCCTAAATTGAAGAGTTGAAGAAGAACAGAAAAAGATGTCGCAAGCCTCCATCGCCTCCACCTCAAACAACCGAATCATGTGCTAGTGTGGGCTCCCGAGTCGGATTCGAGTCTCCACGACACCATAAAATCCGAGGAAAAGGTTCAGAACATGCCCTAATTCGTTGGTAATGGCCAATTTTGAAGATTGAAGCTTTTCTCTCTTTAAATCTCTGTTATAAGTGTGTAAGTTATGGCATTTATCCTAAAGCTTTGTTCTTTTTCATTTTTTATAGAGAGCAGGGAGAATGTGTGGATTTTGGGAATGGGTTGTTGAAGATCCGGTCACAGAGGAGCTTTTAGGTCTTAGTCATGAGCTGAATGAAATGAAGAAGAAGATGAAATGACATAAAGTAGCTTTGATTGTCTTGTTTGTATTGTACTTTGTTAAGTTATATTGAATGGAATTATGATGCAATTGTCACAACTAGGAATTCTAATGTTTTTGTAAACATTAACAATCATAACATTTGTGACTAAAACTTGAAAGCATGCATGATGTTTATTCAACGACAACAAAATTCCATCAAACACTCAATACAAACACTTCAAATAGTCAACAAAAGATTGGAAACCCTAAAAATCCCGGTTTAAGTCCATTATGGACTAGGATTTTCTTGTTGGGCCTAATGGACCAATAAGCCTCCAATTTGACTATTTTGGGCTTAGGACCCTTAAATGGGCTCTAATTAGATCACTTGCATGAAACTTAACATTGTGGGCTATAATGGGCCTAAAATGAATTAGTTTACCTTTAATGGACCTTGTTGGGCTATAACAAATCTAATTAGCCCTAATGGGCCACAAACCAAATCTTTTATGCTAATTGGGCCGTGAACCACCCTAAGGACCCAATGGGCCGAAAACTTCTTTATGGACCTCAAAATTTTGAACCAAGATAAGAAGTGGGCCAAATTAATCTATTTC